ATATATATATATATATATATATATTACTAATATATATATATATATATATATATAAAGTCTGTGGAATGACTCATACATCAAAAGTATAAATAGACATGTAGCAGTGATATACTTATGCAGAAAATCCTAATAAAGAAGAGATTGCAGTGGAATTTGGTTTTATGTGTAGTGATTTAGTTTTGAAACAGATTCAAAACAAACATTAATGTTTGAATGACTGATTTTCAGGTTTATAATACTTTTTAATAGCTTAAAGAGTAAATTTGCCAAAAAATATTCTTTAATCCAAGAGGTTGCTGCTGGAAAGTTGCTGTATAGAATATAAAGTATGAGAGTGTAGGAATATATGTATTAAGATGTTTGTTTCTGTTGTAGCAGTACTAATTATTTTATCTGGTAGTGAGATAGCTATAAGCAGTTTGTCACAACTCTCTGAAAAATAGAACAAATTATTCTTTTTTCCTCCATTGAGGTGACATTCACATAATATAAAATAGCCATTTTAATTATGCAAATAATTTCACTTATACAAGTCACCATTTCAAAGTAAACAATTCACTTGTACAACCTTATGACCTGTTTTCAGGAGATATGTTAGCTTTCTGTTACCATAACAAATACCTAAGGTAAATCACCTTAATAAGAAAAAAGGTTTTTTTTGGTTCATAATTTCAGAGGTTTCAGTTTGGCCCTGTTGCCTTTGGGTCTTTGATAATGGAGTTCATCGTAAGAAAAGGAAACTACTTACTTCACAGTGACCAAGAAACAGAAAGAGAGAGATGAAGGAACTGGAGTTCAAATATCCCCCTCAAAGACATGCTCCTAGTGACCTAACTTCCTCCTCCTAGGCCCCACCTCTTAAATGTTCCACTACTTCTCAGTAGTGCCACAAGCTGGTGGCCAAAACTTTAACATGTAGACCTTTGAAAGACACTTATCCCAACTATAACAGAAGGGGAACAAACATTTTCCTCCTAGAATACCCTATAAAAATATAGTTTTTTTTCTAGGCTCAAATTGGGTGAATTTATGTATTGGTTGGCTCAGAATCTCAGAACTGTTTTCATAATGGTACTACTAGGGGACTGTGAATATGCAGTTCAGTGATACAGTACTTACCTACCATATGCAAATCCCTGAGTTCAATCCCTAGTAATGGGCTGGGGGGTACGGGGAGGAGAACTAGAATATGAACTTGTCCATTTCACTGTGTCAACATTTTGAACAAATGATGCAAAAACAAGTCTGAGTAGAACTGCTGGTGCCTTAGCATAACTCAGGGCACCAGATTGTTCAGTGATTGTTATGTTCTTCACTGCCACACACTTGCAGTTTGAAAACTAAGTTTTGCAGACCAGGCCAGTGGCCCAAGCTTGTAATCCCAGCAAATCAGGAGGCTGAGGTGGGAGAATCACAGGTTCAAGGGCAGCTGGGCAATTTGGCGAGACCCTATTTTCAAAATTTAAAATAAAATAAAAAGGGCTAAGAGATACCTCAGTATAGAGCACAAGTTATGCTTAATAATGTCCTGATTTAGGTAGTAAAATATATTTTTTCTATTATCTTTAAAAAAAATTTTTTTTTGTAGTTGTAGATGGAAAGAATGTCTTTTATTTGTTTATTTTTATGTGGTGCTGAGGATCAAACCCAGTGCTTCACGCATGCTAGGCAGGCGCTCTGCCACCTAGCCCCAGCCCCAGCCCCAGCCCCAGCCCTGGCCCTTATCTTGATCTTTGAGGACAAGCCTATTTCATATTCTATGTTCTTTGTGACAGAAATGGCAAAACCATGATTTAGATTTAGTCACATATGCTAGATACTAGAGTACAGTAATTAACTCAAGGAAAAGTATTTATGCACTTGTTTGAATTTCAAGTTTAGCTATTTTTTTCCCCCTGAAATGCCATTTTTACTCATGATTCACCAGCAAATTGCTCATTCAGATTTGGTTATTTGACAGTATTTTCTTAAAAATGAACCAAGTGTGCTTGATTACTTCAAAGAAAACAACTTGGAATATTTGTTACCAATGATAATATGCAAGCTTTCAAACAAAAGTCAAAACCATGAAACATTTTTATATGTTACCCAATATTAAATGTTTTTCTTTTGAGTTTAATGGTGATATTAATTAATCTGATTTTTAAGGAAATATGCCAACCTTTAGAAAATCTGCATAATGCAATGAATAGATTTTCCAATTGACCAACGCTTGATGTTAAAAAATCAAGCCAGACAATAAACAGATTTGCAAAAACCTGAATGTCATTTTTTTCACTAATTTTTTTTTGTTGTTGTTGTTGTAGAAAATGTAGTTACTGTCTTTAAAATCATACAAAGTTGTTATGTACTCATTGGAATGGAAAAGAGAAAATATCTTAGTATTATAAAATTAGTTTTACCCTGAAGGGGTCTCAGGGAGCATCTGCTCCAGAGAAGTTCATAAATTTCCCCCCAAGGAAACAAAAAAATGTAAGACTGTTCATTGCATCATTATTTGTAATAGTAAAATAATAAAAACAACTTTAAAATCCAACCATATAGGTAATAGAAAATGAAATGTAAATTCCTCCAGCATGATTTCATACAGTATTATTAGAAGGTGTGAATTAGCATGGAGGGATAGCAAAAGTAATATCTGGCTTTGGGCTGTGACTCAGTAGTAGAGTGCTTGCTTGCCTAGAATGTGTGAGACCTGAATTTGATCTCTAGCACCAGGAAAACAAAAAACCAAGCAAACAAAAAATGCTATCTAGTAAATACATACACAAGAGATTATTTGTAAAATATTTTAAAACCTATAAACAAATGGAATATGTTTCTTAGTAAATAAACATAAATATTTTTAGAAGAATTTAAAAAAGAATGTGCTTGAAGGATACATACCAAACTTATGTGGATAATGGTTACCTCCAAAAGAGTTGTAGCATGATATTATAGTTTTCTCTGCAATGTTTTATTTGTTTACAAATTTTATAAGTTAGTAATATATTTCTGTACAAATTTTAAAAGTAGGAGAAAATATGAATATTAACAATTATTAATTTGGAGTTTTGTAAATGTGAATATTATGTACTTTGCTGTGTTTTCAGATGGTTTCAAAAAAACTTTCAAACATGATTAAACTAACAAGTAACAAAATTTAGTGTCTTGTTATGTCTACCTCATTGATAAGAAGACAGATTTAAATAAATTTTGAAAAACAAGGGACAGGTAAATTTGAACAGGTATAAGCAGTGAAGTATGGCAATTTTTGCCTGTTTTATTAACAGCCAAAGTTAGATGGAGAGAGATTTGTGTAATGTAGTCTTAAATGTTTCTGATGACATTGTAAGTGGGAACAATTTTTTTTTTAATATATATTTTTAGTTGTCAATGCACCTTTGTTTTATTTATATGTGGTGTTAAGAATAAAACCTAGTGCCTCACACATGCTAGGCAAGCACTGTTCCACTGAGCCATAACCCCAGCCTATAATTTTTTTTTGAAAGCAATTTTTAAAACTGGTTTAAGGTCCATAAAATGATTCATCATCTTTGATTTGTTTATCCTATTTCTATGACTCTCTTCTAAACAAATATTTCATAGTATGAAACAGTTGTATTATTAAAGCATTATTTTGAATAGTGAAAAATTGTAAGGGTCTAAGCGTGTAGCATTAGAATAATGGTTGCATTACGGGGCTGGAGTTGTGGATAATAATGGTTACATTACAGGGCTGGAGTTGTGGCTTAGCGGTAGAGTGCTCGCCTTGCACGTGCAAGGCCCTGGGTTTGGTCCTCAGTATCACATAAAAATAAATAAAATAACGTTATTGTGTACAAACAACTACAAAAAAAATATTAAAAGGAATAATGTTTACATAGTTTAGTCGATATGCGTTTGTTACACAGGTAGATGTAAAGGCCATGTACTTTTGTGGAGAAGTGTGAAAGGTATGTTAAGTTTAAGAAGGACTATGAAATTATCATTGTGTTTTAATTAATAATCATTTAAATTAAGGAATCACGTTAAATTATTTAGCAATGAGGTTCTGTGCGACTCTTCCTCACTACTCTGAAGTTTTTCAGTGTTATTATGTTTACCTAGAAATTCTATATATGTTTATTTGTAATACATATGATTGGATTTGTCTTTTTAAAATATTACTTTGATTTGTCTCCTTCAAATCTCAATTCCTCTCCTAACTCTTTAAACTTTTAGGCAGAAATTAAACGTCTTCAAGAAGCCAACAAGGCAGCTCGAAAGGAAAGGCAGCTGATCCTTAAGCAGCAGGAGGAGATAGAAAGGATCCGACAGACCACCATAAAATTGCAGGAGAAGTTGAAGTCTGCAGGGGAGAGTAAATTGGTAAGTTACTTGAAATTATTATCAGTTAGTTTGTGACCTTTCCCATGTTGCTTGCCAGTGGCTTACTCCACCTCATGTTCAAATAGTGTAATATAATAACAAACTAGGATAAAGTTCTATCTATGTGTCTTTATGTTAATGAGAATCTCCTCCCACCCCATGAAATATTCATGTTTTGAAAGGGCCACATGATTCTGATATTAGATTAAAATGTTTTCTGTGGAGAACAGTGACTGAGATTGGGGGTCTTTGATGACCTTGTGGCTGTGGCATGTCTGATGCCTGGAAATGTTTCTGTGCAAGGACATAGGATGCCTAGCTGCCATTTTAATGCCCTGTATGAGGAGGCTCTGTGGAAGAGAAGAGTCTTATCAGCTTTGATCTTGATCACAGGCACACAGCTTCCAGGGATAAAGGAATTCTCATGCTAGACAACCACAGTGTTTCACCAGCTCTGCTACTCCTGAGCCTGCCCACTTAACAGTAACTTTAAACAATGGGATCTTCTTGAGCATTACACAAAGCTCCTGACACTGCACACAGCAACTGTGGATTACAACTGAGGAAAAGCTGCATAGATGTTTATAGTTTTGTAACTTTCTGAGTACAAAAAAATAATGCTTACGTAGTCTTTAACCCGATAATGAGATGTATATAAATAAAGCTGGTGTTAACTCTTTAGATCTGCTTCTCCATCAGAGAGCAGCACTCTGCCTGATCCCAGCTATTTTATCTTCACAAACTGTGTTAGTCTTTATTTTCTTACCCCCCATTGCCCCTCACAGAAACTTAGAGTTTGGCTGCACTGGACGTGGCAGTTTTCCATTTATGAACAAATTTGGGACAGAAAGCTCTAGATTTGCTCATCAATCAAAATACATTCCTCAGAATTAATAAGAGACCGTTTTGTTCTTTTTTTGCTATTTATGTTAGCTGTCTGGCTTTAATATTATAATGATGTAAGATTCAAAGGAGATATTTAGATAAGAACAAAATTTGGCTCTATTCTAAGGTATTATAAAGTGTCAGTATAGGCTGTGGTTGTGGCTTAGTGGTAGAGCACTTGCCTAGCATTTGTGAAGCACTGGGTTCAATTCTCAGCACCACATATAAATGAATAAAATTTAAAAAAATTAATAAAGAAATCAATAAATAAAGTGTCAGTATACTGTGCTGAAAAACCCTAAATTACATAGAATTATAATTTTTAAAAATCTAATATCTCCACTTTGACTTCTAAAATACACTTTAAATTTTGAATAGTGCCAAACTTCAGGAAAATTTGAAACAGTATGAAGATTTCTAATTTTCTAAGTCATTTGACAATAAGTTGCTAACAGATTAATATTGATACATTACTACCATTTTATCTATAGCCCTTTTAAATTTCTTCACTTGTCAAATGATATTCTTTATAGAAAAAGTAACTTTAGAATCACATATTGCATTTAGTTTTCATGTGTCTTTAGTCTCCTTCAATCTGGAATTGTTCCTTGAATCTCATGACCTTGATACATTAGAAGACTATATGACAGGGGGCTGGGGCTGCAGCTCAGCGATAGAGCGCTTACTGGGCACGTGCGAGGAAACACTGGGTTTGATCCTCAGCACTACATAAATAAATAAACAAAACAAGTATTGTGCCCACCTACAACTAAAAAAAAAAAAAGATTATATGATGTCAGTTATTTTGTAGAATGTTCCTTAACTGAGCTATGTCTGATGTTACCTCATGACTAGATTCAGGTTGTGCATCTATGGCAGGTATCATAGAAGCAATGTTATTCTTTTTGCCTTATTTAGGTGGCACATAATTTTGATTGATTCCATTATTGATGATGATCACTTGATTAAAGTGATATCTGCCAGACTTAATTACAAAGTTTCTTTCCCTTCAGCATTAATAGGTATTTCACATATTTTTGAAACTATGTAAATGTCTTGTGCATAGTTTAAATTTATTCTCTTACCTTTATCAAAATTAACTCATGAGTTCCTATTTTACTTGGGCTTTCAATCTGTTACTATTATTATTTATGTGTTGCTCACTTTGTCTCAAATTGGGCTATTAAAAGCTTCTCCACACAGATTTCTTTGTCCATTTGCTATGTCTCATCATCCCAGAGTATTTACATGCTTTCTGGAACAAGATGTTTCAGGATCATTTTGAACTTCTGCCCCACCCTTAAAATTAATTGATATTCTGAGGAACATTATTTAGAAACCAAAATCTGGTTTGTTCATTGCTCTTTAGGTTTTACTCTTCCTAAGCAATAAATCTCGGAGAAATATTAGTTTTAACTACATACTGTGTGTGTGTGTGTGTGTATATGTAATAAACATGTATAAATAAAATCAGGAGTTTATACATATACTTCCAATTTCACACCAGTGCCACAACTTTCATACTATTTTGTTGTTGTTTGTTTTCTATTTTAGAATTCTCTTATCTGACAGATAACTGGTGAATGTCCTTCTCTCTGTGTTTGGGCTTTGACTTCCCTATTCCCTATCTCCTTGTTCCTCCATTCTTTGGACTCTGACACCTATGCCAGGAAGTTCACTGTGGGGAAGCCATCTTTACTGTGTTTGAACTCATGACATCATGTGCTGACCTACTTCCACACAGACATTCTTGTTGCCCTGCTTAGACTCTGATTCCCCATTCAGGCTGCCCTGGTGCATGAGATACTGTCTTCATCTCACTCAGATAATCACCACTCTTGGCCCCTGTCTCCCTCTACCCTCACATGAACACATACATGCCTTGTTCTGCTCCATCTGATGACTTTAAGACTGTGTAGTTCAGGAAGCAGAATGGAAAGAAGTACTGTCCTTTGTTTGCATTTTTCACAAATAAAAATAGTCATAATTATTCCCACCCATCTGCCTTAAAAGTTGTGAGTATAAATGACTATTTTGGGAAAGACATACTAAGACATACTAAGGAAAGACATACTTTTTATTTATCAGAAGTAATGTATTGATTAAACCAATAGTTTTTAAATGTTTTCATTACAAACATTTTTAATTTGTGAAATACTGTTTTCCATAAGGAATTCTTCCAGGAAAAAAAAATCCATCCCTTAGTATGTTTAAAGTAAGTTATTACATCTTTTGTTCGGTCTTTGTGTCTGTACATATGTGTTTTATATATTTATAGTGTCTAGTTTTATGTTCCTTTTATATGGTTTAACTTTAAAAACAAGAGTACAATTAGGAACTAGATTATTACTGGCAGAAATTTTTTATTTCTTTTTGGAGTTCTGTGGATTTTTAAAATTTTTTATTTCTTTTTTAATCATTACAAGTGATATAGTCAGTCTATAAAAATATACGTAACATAAAATTTCCCATTTTAATCATTTTCTTATTTAAAAAAAATTTTTTTAGTTGTAAATGGACACAATACCTTTATTTATTTATTTTTATGTGGTACTGAGGATTACACCCAGTGCCTCACATGTGCTAGGTAAGCCATTTACCACTGAGCTACAACCCCAGGCTCCATTTTAATTATTTTTAAGTGTGTAGTATATTTTTGTCCCTTAAGTAATTATATCTTTTTTAAAGTAATTATGACTTAATTTTAATTACTATTAGAAACATTGTTTTAAATTTAAACTTAATTTTGAATTGACAGTATTTAAGATCTTTTAAGATCCTTTTGAAGTCCAATAAAAGTTTGCTTCTTTTTGTTTACAGGACTCTCATAGTGATAATGATACAAAAAATAATAAGGCAACTAGTCCTGGACCAACTGATTTGGAGACCCGTAGTCCTTCTCCCATCTCAATCTCCAGCAGTGAAACTAGCAGTATCATGCAGAAACTGAAGAAAATGAGAAGCCGCATGGATGAGAAGTAATTCATTTTTTAAATATATCCTGTTTAGTTACACTGCAAGTAGTAAGAACAAATGATATTTTTTAATATGCTGCATAGATCAAGATAAAATGTTTGATGGATTCAGTAACATTTTAGCAGAAATTTTGGATCAACCTAGAAGTTAATTAACTGTAGATCTTATTTATGAAACAGTTTTTCTGATTTTGATGTAAATAGTTTCCTTATTAAAAAGCCAAAGTAGTATTTGAATATGTACCCTTTCTTTGCATATGTCTACCAACTTGGGGAGCAACTAATGGTATATTGAATTGACATCCTTTTGATCTTTGGTAATTCTCAAGCTTAATTTAATGGTAGAACAAAATTTTTACCTTGTCAGTTTCTGAGATTTTTCTGGGGTGTGGAATGATTCTGCACTCTAATATTCTTCCAAAACATTTCTAAGAATTATTTTTTAAAAAATCTCCTACTGGAATGTAGCTCAGTTGCATATAAGATTTGATTATATAAAATTACATTTATGTGATAGTTCACTCTTTTGGTATTCATTAAATTAAATATGGTTATAAATTAGATTCTTGTAGGCTGTATACTTGCCTCTGTAATCATTATCCCATAGTTAGCTTCCTTGAAACGCACTGAATACAGGAAAGAGAATCATTAGAAATTTTTACTGACTGCCATTTTAAGTTAGCAATTCAAACCACAGACTGAACTTAAATTGTTATCTTGAGATCCTTTGGCCAGATTTAATAATGTTTTATATTTATATGTGACACCTACCTTTGATTTAATTAGTTTTAGGATAGTCAAGTAATTATTGAGTAAAATTCCTTATTTCCTCTAAGTGCAATTATATGTTGGTATTTCTTTTCTTTTTTTTTTTTTTTAGTTGTAGGTGGAACACATAATCTTTATTTCATTTTTATGTGGTGCTGAGGATTGAACCCAGTGCCTCATGTGTGCTAGATGCCTCTAATCCCAGTGACTGAGCAGGAGGATCCCATGTTTGAGGCCCTAAACAATTTATCGAGATCCTTTCTCAAAATAAAAAGTAAAAGGACTAGAGATGTAGCTCAGTGCTAAAGCACCTCTGGGTTCAATTCCTAGTTAAAAAAAAAAATTAACAGTGTAAAAACTAAATATTATCATACATGTGAATACTTGTTTTTAGATGATTTCTGTGGGATAAGTCAAGTAAAGTTTCTTTAAATAAGAATTTATTGAAATTTGGGTGAAAAATTCATTCTTCCTTTTTTGATTAAAATTTTCCACTAGTCTATAGAGACATTGCTTCATAGATCTTTGAATTCAAAATTAGAATAATTTTTATCACTGATTTGACATTTTATATCTGCCTCCAAGTCTCTTTGAATGGTAAATGTTGTGGGGAAGGTAGGGATAATTTTTTTTCCCACTGATCCCTTGCTTTTATATTTCAGTAAAACCTTCATTGCTAGTCTCTATGAATGGTATTCTAAAATTTTAACCACACCTATAGAAGAAATTGCTAATCTTAGTCTGTGAGGTCAGTTTCTGTGGTGCTTATTTTAGATTTGGTTAAATCTGTAAAAACCCTAAATAACAAATTTAAGATTAGATTTATTGACTGCTCCAAGTGTTGTCACAGAATCCAAATATTAATCACTATAATTTTTGTATTTCTTGTCTTATCAACTACTAGAGTAGACTTTGTCAAGGAGAATAATCCTTGAAACATTCCGTGACTTTTTATTTTGGGTACCAGGGATTGAACTCAGAGGCACTCGACCACTGAGCCACATTCATAGCCCTATTTTGTATTTTATTAGAGACAGGGTCTTCTGTGTTGCTTAGCACCTTGCTTTTGCTGAGGCTGGCTTTGAATTTTTGATCCTCCTGACTCCACCTCCTGGGATTTCAGGCATACACCACCACACGTAGCCATGATTTCTTAATCTGATGTCTGAAGCAATGAAGTTGAGTTTGTGGTAGGGATGAACAAGAGTATTTTCTGAAATTGGTTATGTGTTTTAAAACATAGTGCATTACAGTATTGTTTTCTATCCCTGAAACAAAGTAATGGGAAGACTAGCATTTAAATGCCATTTATATTATGAAAATTTTAGAGTTAAGATTTCCTTCAGCTCCAACTGATGTTGGAATGTCAGCTCAAGAAGTGAAGAGTTACTTGATTTTGGAGTTAGCTTACTATAGTAGATGACTAATAATAAAATTATTTGAACCTTTGCTTCTTTGTAACTAGGTACTATTATTTGTTCCATAGATTTGCAAAGGCAGTCAGACCTGTTTTATTGATATGAATGTCAAAAAGTAGTCATCCTTCCCAAGAAGTTTAACATTTTGGGAGAACTTTTTTATTATATGTCATTGCTTATTGTTAGCTTTCTGAACTCTAATTTTATAACAGATATATTTTTTAAACAATATTATCACTTTTGGCCTTGGTAAAAGATTTGTTCTTTAATGTTTCACTGAGACAATAATGCCTTCATTAAACTTTATATTTCTAACATATGACTTTTCTTGACATAGTTATTGAATTGACGTTTATAAGTAATTTCCATTTTTCAGTATAGTGAAAAGCAAAAAGAAATTCAAAATGTGAAAGACATTAGTAATAATGAAAACAGGTTTGTAAAAGACACACAGTAAATCTAAGCCACTGAATGAACAACCTTCCCTTTTGTCTTACTTGTAAGTGAATTTGAGTTTTGTTAATTACTGTGACAGACGTTATTTATAATAACACTGGGTTACCTATAATTATGAAACAGTTGTTGTCGAAAAACAAAGCAAATATGGGTGACTTCTCCTGTTATTTTGCCAGTTCCTTTTCAGGAAAATAGTTTACTGAGCATATGAAGCTCTGAAGTGCTGCATTAGTTAAAATAAGACACCACACATTTTTTTCTTTGATTTGTTAACAGTAGCTTGTTCTTCTGTGTAACAAGTTAATTATGTGGTTGCTCCCTCAGCAATTATTTATTGAGTAATTTGTGAATATGCTAAGTTCTGAGGGTTACCAAGATACAAACCCTGCCTTCAAAAAGCTTACAGTCTTACTTGGAAAATAGAATGCATGGAAGGATCATTTAGAAAAGTATATGGAGATCTATTGCTAAGGAAATTAAGAAAGGAAAGAGAAATTTTCACTGACAGAAGAAGCATATTAAGGAAATTTTCATGAATATGTTCAGACTTGAATATGTTTTTAATTAGGAAGTACTTTCTAATATAAAAAGTATAAGCATTTTTTGGTTTTACCTTTCATTGCAGACCAAGGTAGCATGAAAAAATTAGCTGGTAGTGTCAAAACATCTTAAACATTTCTTCTATACTTCCCAATTTGCTTAGAAAAATGATGAAATGCATCAGACATAGTGGCGCATGTCTATAACCCTAGCAGCTCAGGAGGCTGAGGCAGGAAGATCATGAGTTTAGAGCCAACCTCAGCAATTAATGAGGCCCTAAGCAACTTGGCAAGACTCTGTCTCAAAAATAAAAAGTAAAAAGGGCTGGGGATGTGGCTCAAGTGTTTAGGTGCTCCTGGGTTCAATCCTTGGTACCAAGAAAAGGAAAAGAAAAAACACTAAATGGGCAAATTATTTAATTTAAATAATTAACCAGAAACTTAAGAAGAGAAATATTTTATGATATTATTCTATCTTAAAGTATTTATAAACTGAGTACACTATATGACTACAATCCCAGCTAGTTGGGCAGCGGAGATAGGAGGATTACAAGTTTAAGGCCAGCCTTAGCAACCTAGAGAGACCGTGTCTCAAAAAAATAAATAAATAAAAGTATTTATGGTTTGTCTATTCAGTTTTGAAATCTTTACCATTAATCTGCTGAACTTTAAAAATTAAGGATTTTCAAAGTAGAGTCTTGGATAGTCTATTAAAGAAAATACCTTGTTAAGAATTATCTTAGGGGCTGGAGTTGTGGCTCAGCGGTAGAGCACTTGTCTCTCACGAATGGGACCCTGGGTTCGATCCTCGGCACCACATAAAAAATAAATGAGTGAAATAAAGGTATTGTGTCCAACTACAACTATAAAATAAATAGTAAAAAAAAAAAAAAAAAAAGAATTATCTTAAATAATTTATTAAACAACATTGTTTTAGATTAATATAATTGTCTTAGAGAAGTTTCTATTATAAGTGTAGTAGCTAAATAAATTCTGGTAGTATAATGTTGTGTTTTAATTTCTGCAGTTCCTTGGTCAAGAATAGTGTACTGTATTATTTTGTTTATTTAACTGTATGCAAATTATTATACAATTTTAAGTAATAAATAGGTTTTACTATAGAAAAAGCTAAACTGCACTATTTTTTTTATATTCTTTTTAGTTGTAGGTGGACACAATACCTTTATTTTATTTTTATGTGGTGCTGAGGATCGAACCCAGTGCCCTCCATATGTGAGGCAAGCACTGCACCACAGAGACACAAACCTAGCCCTGCATTTTCTTTTACATCAGTACTATCCTTGCCCTAATTTATCTTCTCATTCAAGTATTATGAAAGATGCTTAAAAGCCAGATGCAGTGGCACACGCCTGTAATCCCAACACCTCGGGAGGCTGAGTAAGGGGAATCGCAAGTTCAAAGCCAGCCTCAGCAAAAGCAAGGCACTAAGCAACTCGATGAGACCCTGTCTCTAAATAAAAAATACAAAATAGGGCTGGGAATGTAGCTCAGTGGTCAAGTGCCCTGAGTTCAATCCCTGGTACCAAAAAATATATATATATACACACATACACACACATATATATAATATTTCATATATATATATATATATATATATATATATGCTTAAAAATTCAGAAAAATTTATTTTAAGATTTAAAGCACTATGTTCTATTTTTATTTATAATAATATAGAATTAAAGAATTACAGATACAGAAGGAATTTTAAAACAATTTAAGGTATTAAATTTTCATTTGTTTTATTTACTGTCTTTCAAATTTGAAGGATTTTAGACCTGCAATTATCATTTAAAATTTATATAATCTTTTTTTCTTTCAAATTATAGCTGGAACACTGTTCATAGTTGTATTAGCTCAGTGGGAGAAAATTTGTCATGTCATATGATGTTGTAGCATGTTATTTTTAAAAAGTGGGAGGTTTTTGAATGTACAAAGAATCATAAAATGGTAGAACTAGAAGAGGTCTCAGGGAACTTGTCTTTATTTGACTCGGTGAATTTAAGGCCCACAAAGATTAAGTGACTTGCCTGAGTTCACACACAGCAGAATGGCAGAGTTAGAACTAGAACCCTGCTCTCTGGACTTCAGCTAGTTAAAGTTTAACATATCTGCTTTTAGACTTACAATTTTTTTAAAAAATTACTGATAACTACATATCTTCAGTAGAAACTTGCCCTTCTGAATAATATTTGTTGAAACTGGAAAAGTGCTAGATGGCTTATTACTATAGTCGAATAGCAGCATGAACAAGTCATATGCTGGTGTGACTTAGTCAATCAAGTTCTTTAGTAATTAATTCTTTAAATTCAAACATTATAAGAACATAATTATTTCCATACTAGATTACATTTATTGTATATCTAATTTTAATCCAGTGTTCTGTTACCATCAGAGGTCTTCTTGGGGGTTGCCTTGATAGCAACCATAAAGAATATTAGTATCATTTTATATTAGCAGACATTTATATATCCATAATTCATAAATTTTGTTTATTTCTTACCTGTTCTTTGTATTGAGTGATTGTTAACTTTAGGGTGAAGTACTGCTTTTTTGTCTCACCTTTATTCAGCTTTTAAAGTTTTAGTTTTGAGAATGTTTTTATTGTAAACAAAGAAATGTTTGGGGGAAGAAGTTCTAACTTTATAATTAGGTTAAAACTTTTCTTACACTGTTTCCTAAACTGTTTTATTTTCATTTTCTATTAGTCATTTCTTTTGTTCCTCATTTCTAAACAAGAGCTTTTGAATGTGTTTAATCTTTATAATTGAAAAGTAAATGTTAGTTCTTATTTTAGTAGGAAGAATAATTGGGGGTGAAAAAATTTTAACTTGTATATTTTTACACTTTATTTCACGTGTAAAATATTATTTTACTTTTTGTACTAGGTCATGCATGCATTTAGCAGTTACACACTTAAGAGGGTGGGTGTCACATTTGAATGTTACGAGTAAATTTTTTAGAACATTTTGCTAAGAACATTTGGTTTTGCATAATATTTTGATAATGAACATCAAAATAAGTTTATTGTACATCAATAAAGAATGGCAAGGAAAATTGCATTGTCTTACTGAAATTTGCAGCAATGTTTTTCATTGAACTTCAGTGCAGAAAATCAAGGCAATCCAGTTGGGCATGCATGCACGTGTGCCTGCGTGTGTAAATAAATGAAGGGAAAAGTAAAATACTATATGTGGGGAAATAGACGTTAAAATAGTCTGTTATCTAAAGATATGCATAGGCAAGATTATATATATATTTCTTAAAATCTAAATGTGACTGGATTTATACCTAGATTTTCTCACTTCCGTGACATACTGATATTACTCCTTGCCCTTCCAAGGCAATAAATGTTGCCTTGATCTACAATTTATTGTTGTGTGCATGTGAACAGGAGCATGCTCTGTCAAAGAGAATTAACCTTTCAAACTTTAAGATTTATTTATCCTTTTGTGTATGTGTATAGTGATCTACTTATTATGACAAAAGGTTTTATTTTTTCTACTTTTGTAACTTTAGGGTATAGAATTTTCTTCTTACCTTTAACTTTATGATTGAGCTGTCCATAGCATTTTTATTTTAATTTTGGGGGGAGGGTACTGGGGACTGAATTCAGGGGAATTGGCCTCTGAGCCACATTCTCAGCCCTATTTTTTAAATATTTTTTTAGTTGTAGTTGGATACAATACCTTTATTTTATTTATTAACTTTTATGTGGTGCTAAGAATCGAACGCAGCGCCTCACACGTGCTAGGCGAGCTTGGCTACTGCTGAGCCACAATCCCAACCCCGCCCAGCCCAATTTTGTATTTTATTTAGAGACAGGGTCTCACTGAGTTGCTTAGTGCCTCACTTTTGCTGAGACTGGCTTTGAACTCACGATCCTCCTGTCTCAGCCTCCCGAGCCACTGGGATTACAGGCATGTGCCACCATACCCAGCTCATAGCATTTTTTTAACTGATAGTATTTATTGAGACTAGCTCAGTTTTTCTTAATTTTACATCCTGATATTTTATAGAATGGGCATTGTATTTTAACATTATTATTTAAATGGGCCTTTGTTATATTTAAAGCAAGGAGATCTTGTTAGCAGTTTTATGTTTAGAGGTTAACAAGGTTTTTTTCTACAAATAGGTTTAAACGTTTTTAGGCTGGATCGTGATGGTACAGTTAAGTAAGGCAAATGGACTTTTGATTTAATTTCAAGCTTAAAATATATGACAAGGTACAGATATAAAATCAGTTGTTTAGGGTTTCCTATTTTAGTAGAATTGCTGATATACTAGATTCATGGTTCAAACTTTATTTGAAAATTTATTAGCCCCACACTGTACTTCTCATCACTCACAAACAAGTAAATTAAACTGAAAAGACACATGATGGTTAAGTCATATTTGAGAAGAAAGGCATGTTTATTTAGAAACCATTGGTAAGATCTGTGAAAGTACATGTTTTTATGTCACACAGAGTATAACACGTGCTTTACCAAGTAGCTTATAATGTAATTTAGGAAGCATATTGAAAATTCTTCACTTGGCTCTTATGCTTTCCCTTTCTCATTCTTCCTACCTCTTGATCTCTTGGTTTTAAAAATCTTCCTCCTTATTTTGTAGACACTGCTCTCCTGTTCACTACTTCTTCTCTGTCTTTACGTCTCATCACTGGGCCTCTCTCAGTGTTTGTTTTCCCAACCTTCATCCCAAATTCCAGCTGTATATCTACAACCAGTTGGTCAGGTAACTGCACCTTTTTTAGTGCACTCTTTGATAGAGCATGCTCTGTTCTTTTTGTTTTGTTTGCTTTTTTTGTTTTATTTCTTTTTAACAGCCTGGAGACCTCTTGTCAAATGTCATATAGATTTTACCTTGTGTTTCCACGTTAATTTGACATGATGATTGTTCCAGAAGTGACAGTTCTTGTGCTTTTGACTAAATGTTGGATGTGTAAATGCATTTTTGTTGGCTAGCTACTGCTGTATATCTGACACCAATAATATGGACAGCATACCTTTCATTTAGCCATGGCATCTGCATTTGAAGAGATTTTATTAATAGCTTTAAACTAATCAAATATTTTTCCCTAAATTAGTAATCTCTCCTAACCCTTCTGACCTATAGAAGATCAGAGATTATATTAAATTGAAAATTTGAGACATTTGATGCATCCTTTTACTCAGTTAATGATTATATGCATAAGATCTGACTGATGCTCAGTGTTCTCTACATAAAAAATGATTTATCACCTGACCTTGTATCTCTTAGATAATGGGAGCCTAACTCACTAGACCTGAAGCAAAGCCAGATAGAATTTGAAAATTAAAGTCAAAAGGGAACATAAATGTGTTTTTTGTTTGCGTGCTTGTTTGGGGGGTTTTGAGGGGTTTTGTTGTTGTTTTTGGTCTTTATTGTTTTGGGATTTTTGTGTATTCTGGTGTGAGCCTTCAGAATAAATTCCTTACATTTTCTGTTATGAAACAGAACCACCTATTAAAAGAAATATATGAATAATCATGACTGATAATATTTAATATATCTCAAAGATACTTTTTCTGAATTTACCACTATCTTTTCTTTACTAATCTTACAAATATAAGTAAAAAAATTAATTGTCTCATTTTCTGAATAAGTCGACTCATCTATTATTTTGCACAGCTTGTTGATAAGGTAATGAAAAATAGAGCTTTCAAAATTATTTATTCCTTATAGCTTTATTTCTCACTGTTCTTCATGATGTGATCATAGGTTTTTGACAAAGCGAGAGCAAAAACTAATGCAGCGACGGCAACATGCAGAGGAGCTCCTGGAGTGGAAGAGACGGTTAGATGCAGAAGAAGCGGAAATTCGTCAAATGGAAAAGCAGGCTTTGGCTGCCTGGGACAAAGAATTAACAAAGCCGAAAACTCCTAAGAAAGAACCAGAGGACCAGAGAACAGATCATAAAGGTAATGAATACTAACTCTGTTCAGACTAAAAACTAAAGCTTATCCTATTTGAAAGATTTATTTCATTTCTTGTTAAAACATGACTAATTAAAGATAAAGCAGACAATACAACTGTAAATGCTGTAGAACTTAGATAAGAAAATATGGTGAATAACTTTTTGCTAACACAAATTTGAATATTTGAAGACCTCCTCTATCTTCAGTAGTATTCTGGACATTCAAGGGGGAACCTCACGCGTATCATTATTTACTTTTCTGTAGGATAGAAAAAGAGGCATTTCTCAATTCATTTTATGAGGTTAGCATGTAACTTTGATATTAAATTTATAAAAGGACAGTATCAAAAAGGAGAAGGCTAGCCTCCTCTATCTTAAATAAATATTAGTACACCAGCTCCAATCATATAGTAAATCTAATATTTCATGACCAAGTGGGGTTGAGCATACATTAAAAAATAATAATGTGGTAAATTATCATAAATAGATTAAAGGAGAAAAAAATACATGACCAGGTCAGAAAAGTTATTTAATAACATTTGTGATAAAATGCACAAACCTTTAATTAATCCAGCCATAAAAAGGAACTTTCTTTACCTAATAAAGGTATTGATAAAAACAAAAAACTTGGGCCTGGGGATGTGGCTCAAGTGGTAGCGCGCTCGTCTGGCATGCGTGCGGCCCGGGTTCGATCCTCAGCACCACATACCAACAAAGATGTTGTGTCTGCCGATAACTAAAAAAATAAATAAATATTTAAAAAAAAAAAAAAAAACACCTTACACCAGATATCATACTTAGTAATGAGATATAGAAAGCTTTCTCTTTGAATTTGGAAATAAGACAAAGATGCTTATTTTCACCTTTATTAAGCATTGTGTATAGGTTTTAGACAGTTCATTGTAGCTAGAAAAAGAATTAAAAATCATAGATAGTGGGGAGAAGTTAAATTCTCATTATTTATAATTGGTAACAGCTATGCACATAGAAAAATCCAGCACTTAGGTGTTACTGGAATTAATAAATGAGTGTAGCAAGGTTGCTGGTTATAAAATCCATAAAACAAAAACTCAGTTATATGTCTGTACACCAGCAAAAAATTGGTTAGAAAAATCTGATTTTTTTTAAAAAAAGATACACACTTCTGGTGGCCAGTCAGTGTTTACTGGGGAGGCGGTTAGGTTGACTGTGCCATGAGGCCTGGAATGTGTAGTCTGGTAGCCATGGGCGAGTTCCCTACTAGCTCCAGTCTTGGCGATGTGCTCAGACTGTAGCTGTCAGGGTATTATAATGCTGTCTGATACTAATCTGGCTGTTGGAATCCCCAGTAGTAAAGTAAAATATTCAAGGCTCTCTAGCACAGTCGAAGGCTACATTGATCTTCAGTTTAAGAAAAGCTCTCCTAAGATTCCTTATGAGACCACTGCACTTGCCACTGTGCTGTTTTTGATTGGTACCTTTCTCATTATCATAGGCTCCCTCCTACTGTCAAGCCATATCAGTAAAGGGTAGTGGTGCAGACCAGGCCCTTCCTGTTCTGCTCATTGGCATTCTGGTGTTCCTGCTGGCACATTGCTGACTATGCATTTAAGGCTGGCAGGGTTACTCCTATGATGACATTCCAGACATTGATGACTAACACTCACTTCAGCCCTGAGACAAGTCACAGTGGGACTGAGCCCAGCTTTAAGATATTGAACAGAAACTATGCTAAGGGCTGGGGAATCGTGCAGTTTTCAGATGTTTGACAAAACAATGACCAGAGTTTATGGATCCATTCCAAAAATGTTCACTGAGCTGAATTAGCTGATTAAATTAGGAAATGCTCTGTTTTTCATCCGGCCCTGGCAAAACTCAACAAGTTTTTCCACATGAATATGTATCATGGAAGAATAGCAGTGCTAATTGTCTGGGAAAGCAGGAGGTTATTCTGTTCTGGAAAGCATTACCATTCCCTCCCTCTTTAGAATGAACATTTCTTTTGAATAGTCTTCATTGTCAATTTGTTATTGTAGCAAATGAAAGAGTATGGTATGTCTAATTTCTTAGTTTCTAAATAATTTATTTTTTAAATATCAAAAGATCTTATCCCCTACACTTAACTCTACGTTCACATTCTGGTGGAAGACCTCCATAAAATCACATATTAATATGGATGCGTCTAATATTTTTTACTTTGTTTCTTAGTGACAGGAACCAGGAATTTTTTAAGCTGCAGAGTAAGTTTTCAAAGTATAAGCACTGTCTCTGATAACCAATTCTTGGCCAGATCTGATCTTGTTTCCCACTAGGTTGGCCTGCATATAATTTGAGTCATTCTATCCTTTGTAGATCAAGAAGTTCTATGTATCATGCCTTAAAAAAAAAAAAAAAAATACACGTAAAAGCCAAAAATATGAAGTATTTTTTTACCTATTTGTAAGTTTTACAAAAAGTATGCAAGATTTTTTTTTTAGTACCAGGAATTGAACCCAGGATTGCTTAACCACTGAGCCACATCCCTGGCCCTTTTTATTTTTTATTTAGAGACAGAGTCGCAGTAGGTTGCTTACAACCTCACTAAGTTGCTAAGGCTGGCTTCGAACCTGTAATCCTCCTACCTCAGCCTCCCGAGCCACTGGGATTACAGGCATTTGCCACCATGCCTGGCCAGTATACACAATCTTTATGAAGGAAAATTTAGAATTTTATTGAGAGACATTAAAGTGAACTAAAGTAAATGGGACATTATTCCATATTCATGGATAGATTCAATGTCATGAGATGTTAATTTTCCCTGAACTGATATGTAGATTTCAAGGCAATTTACATCAGAAACCCAACAAGATTTCTTTATAGTGTTTGACAGACTCATTAAAAAATTGATATGCAAGAACAAAGACCAAAAATTAAAACATTTCTAAAGAAAAACCAAAAATACAGGAACTTACTTTACCATATATCAGGACTTAAAACAGTATGATATTTGCACAGAGATAGAGTGTGAAGCAGAAAAAGACCCATCCATCTATGAAAAGTTGACTTTTTACACAGGTAGCTTTGCAGAACCATAGAAACCCTGTCTTATAAATGTTTATGGGAAGAAATAGTGAAGTTGGATCCATACCTGATATGAAAGATCTGTTCCAGAGGGGAATTATTATAATTTCTTTCCTTCTACTGATTTTAGATTTGATTTGTTTTTGTTTTTCTAAGACCTTGAGCTGCATAATTAAAAGTTATTTATTTGAGAGCTTTCAACTCTTTTAATATAGGTGCCTAGCTATAAAATTCCCTAAGTACTGATTTCACTATTTCCCACAGATTCTGGTATGGGTTTTTCTATTTTCATTTGATTCTAAGAATTTTTAAAATCCAACCCCCCAACCTGATTTCTCCAAAAATGAACTATGGTTCAAAAGTATATTGTTCACTTTCCATGTGTTCTTATAATCTCTATAGTTTTTCTTACTGTTGATTTCTGCTTTCGTTCCATTATGATCTGATAAGAAGCAAGAAACTGTTTTTTATTTCTTAAGACTTGCTAAGATATGTTTTATAAAAAGTTTTATGTTGATGAAAAGAATATGTACCCTATAGCTATTGAATAGAATATTGTATAGATGTCTACTAAGTATATTTGACCTACAGTATAATTTAACTCTGATGTTTCTTTGTTGATTATTTTGTCTGGATGCTGTTTTTATTCCTGAGAGTGGGGTATTAAAATCATCCACTATTATCATTTTGGGTCCTATTTTTCCCTTTGTGTCTAATAGTGTTCATTTTATAAAATTGAGTGCTCTGAGGTTCAGTGCATTTATTTATCATCATATCTTCTTAATGGACTATACCCTTTATCAATAAAGGTATTGATAAAGGGTATAGTCCTCTTCTGAGTGTAGGATTCTTTCGAGTATCTTGTGTAATGCTGAGCTAGTGGTCATGAATTTCTTCAGATTATACTTATCTCAGAATGCTATTATTTCTGAAGGATGGATTTTTCTGAATATAATAATCTAGGTTGGTAGTTATTTTATTTCAGGACTTGAAACATCATCCTGCTCTTTTGGCCTTCAGTGTTTCTACTTTTAAAAGTCTGTTGGTTTTTCCTCATGTGACATGGTGTTACTCTGTTGGTTTTTCCTTATGTGACATGGTGCTTTTCTCTTATAACTCTTTATATTCTTTCTTTCTTTCTGTAATTTTGGCAGTTTAACTATAATATATCCTGGAGATGTTCTTTTCTTGTCATGTCTATTTAGGGTTCTAAATGCCTCTGTACCTGGATGGCTATTTCTTTCCCAAGATTTGGGAAATTTCCTGGCATCATTTCACTGAATAGGTTTTCTGTGCTTTTAATCTGTGTAGTTCTTCTCCATTGCGTACTCTGTGTGTGGTGTGTGTGTATGTGTGGTCTGTTAATGGTATACCATAGATCTTCAAGTTCTGTTCATTGTTTGTTTGTTTGCTTACTGCTATCTGAATGTGATAATTTATCCACCTTGTTTTCAAGTCCTGATAGTCTTTCTTCCACTTTCATGTGAGGGTTCCTAGTAAGCAGCCTTCTTTTGACGATGTGCCCTAGGATATCAGTTTCTTATGTAGTGTTAAATTTAATTCCTGATGGACTTTGTAGTGTAGTGTTTTGGTGGCTACTTGAGCTGTAATTAGTAGTTTTGACACTGTGTATGCTGGGTCAAAGCCTGAGGGATGTGCTGTCTCACGGGAGTGGGTTCCCTCTGATAATTCAGGTAGGTGTGCTATAGACAGCAAAATATGTGTGGTGCATCCTCTGTGGTTACTCCTCCAGACTTATCAGCAATATGTGGTTCTAAAAGGGTATCGGAGCAGCCTGTTCTAAGATCTCCCATAGGTACACAACAGTTGCTATTTCTCCCTGCTGTTCCTGTGGGGGTGGATGTCCAGGAGCAGGACTTAAGGCCCTCCTAGCTGGGCCTGCTTATGGGTGGATCATTAGCTGGGGAATTTTATCTTGCCTATTCTTCAAGTTGAAATATCTGC